TGTAGGGTTCTTATTAGATTTTATAACCAAATCATATTCACATGTACAGCACATAAAATTTTAGTACGCAATTTAAAATTTATTCGTTTAATTTTGCAATTAATTTTTTTTTTATGAATCTAAGCTCGTCAATAGAAATATGCTAAATAACCTGTTACTTGTAATTTAAACAACCGAATAAAAATGCAACTTTAATTTAATTACAAATGAACAAGAATGCATTTCGCATTAGAAATTATTCGGTTTGGAATTTGTCTGGGAACAAATAAATGAATGTTGGCTTTTTTTCCTTCCGTTGATGGTCTTAAATCCAGTTACAAATTAGTAGCATTATGTGTTAGTACTTGCTAAACATGAATATCTGATTAAATCCGATATAAAATATCTAGTAAGAAAGGAATTCTATATGCTGTGCAACATTATACGAATATGAATATATATGACTGCCCATGTTAGCAACTTATATTTTTCTTAGTTGCTGATGGGAATAGCTCCTTATAATCTTCAAGAAGATAATAATAATGAATAATAATAGTAGTTTGTCCTGCAATAAGGGAGTAACCTTCGAGTAGAAATGTGGGTAATAGTGAGAGAATTTTCAAGTGAAAATTTAGTTTTTAATCAAGTGGATTTGTAGCGCTGACCAGACCTAAATATATATCATTATACAATATTATCATAATAAATTTTTTAATTTAGATTCAAATTGAAATAATCATGATTAAATATATTAACTTTTATTTTATACAGCACTATTCTGACTCTTAAACTTGGTGCTATTATGGATGATATACACATGATTCGAACCAATCTAATTGGTTTAGTACTTAATGGTGTGTTCATGTTCGTTTTTTACTGGTATGCATCCAAGGAGTTTAGAACAGATATTTGGAAGAAAATTGGAATAGCTACAGTCATTACAATGGGTTTTCTAGCTTATACAAACTTTGAAGATCCTGCGAAAGTTGAATTCCGTTTGAGTATGATAATAACCACAGTTTTGGTGTGGCTAGTTGGTTCACCACTGTTGCAAATCAATAAAATAATTGAGAAGAAAAGTACCGAAGGCATGCCATTTCCAATTATATTTACTGGTACATTGGTTGCTGCGTCTTGGACTTTGTACGGTATTTCGATTAGAAATACTGCGATGTCGGTAAGTAACAAAAACCATATATTTTTTCCATATATTCATAATGTTTTCTTTTAGTATCAAAACCTTTTATTGTTTGTACTGAGTGCCATACAATTATCTCTATTCGCCATTTATCCAAGTACGCCAAGCGAAGTTCCGTCTAAAACTGATGCCGCCACAAAACAAAAGAAACCAAATACTCCAAACAAAAAGAAGGATTAAAAATTTAACTTAAACACATAATTTAAACATCTATGCTTTTAAAAGTTAAAATTTTACTTATAGCCTAATACACTGATGCAAAGTAGTTAGACATTTTTATATAAGTAATCTATGCAATGCTATAAATATTATATTTCAACAATATCTGCAATTTTTGACAATAATTAAAATCTTCCAATCATATTTTTAATAAATAAATAGATATATTATTTAACTTAGTAAATGACTATTAAAAATTGTAATTGTAAAACAATGAATTTTAAGAGTAAAAACTAATATTTCTAATTGTACAAAATTTAATATTAAAATATAGTTAAAATAGGTATTCTATTTATAGTTAATTTAAAATTATACACAACCGCTATAAATTGTTACAAAATAAAAATACATTTTAAAAATGATGTATATTTATATAAATTACTATAGTTTTGTTACAAAGCCGCATATGTAGCTCTGTGGAGATGCACCGCCACATCATAACTAAAATTGAGAAATTTTATTTTATAAAAAATTGAATTTTTATTCATAAATTGAATTTATTACAACTTGCGTATTTATTTAAGCAGTATATGAAATGATTTTAAGGATACGTACGTTGATGAAACAAAGTTTCTTTTATAATTAAATTTTGACTTTTTTTTGGCATTGTCCACACCAATTGGAACACTTTGGATCATAAAAATAAAAAACTTTAGTTCTTGTATTTTAGGAGCCTTAAAAATTCGTAACAATTTTATTAAATATGTTTTAAATGCAGTATTTATTCATCATCCGTATGTTCTTCCAAAAGCAACGCCACCGTTGAGTTATAATGTTCGCCTAGACTATACATATGTCGGTGGTAAGTTATTGTTAACTTTGGACCTTTGAATTCGTTTCCCTGTACCGTATTTGAACCTTCAGCTTGAATAACTTCGATTGGTATTTCAAGTACAGATGACAGAGCCTTTAACTCAATATGACCACCCCAGGCAGGTGTGCTTTGCACAGACTTACAGTAGTGTTCGAATTGTTCATCGTCCAATAGATTTCCGGTATGTGGGTCAGTCATGAAGCATATAAGTGTATCCTTATTTTCACGTATGTATTTGGCAGTTTCTTCACGAAGTTCATCAACGGTAAAACCATGTAAATCATGCAAACCAAGTTGATGACGAATGGCATTGTATAGGCAGTCTCCATCTGATGGCACTTCAAAAATCATCAAATCCATTTCTTTCAGTTTTGCTACTAACTTTCGTTGCTCCACCGCTTTGGGTTCGTTTTTCGCGTCTTTGCTGGCAGCAAGTATATCCTCTTCTCGTTGACGTGCTTCGTTTGCTTTTTTATTCCGCCGTTTTTGAGCTTTAGAAATACGTTCTGGTTTTTCCTCATCTTCTGCATTTTCTTTATTGTCCACGAGCTCTTCAGTGTTGTGATTTTCATTAAGCAAAAGGATTTGATTTTGTTCTTGCAATATTTGCTGTGACAGCATCAACTCCTGCTGTTGTCGCTGTATTAAATGATTTTCCAATCGAGTGATTTCTTCCAATAATTCCTTACGTTTCTTTTTATCGTTTTTTGCACACTTTTTCATTTCTTGTATTTTAGCCTGTAGCTCTTTTTTTTCTCGGCGGTGTCTGGCAGCTAATTCATCAATTGATATTTCTTGCAATTTATTAACCAAAGATTCGGTGGTAGTCGTCATTGTTTTTTTATATTGTATAATATAACAACTTTATTCTAAAACGAACTGCAATTGTGTTGAAATTGTTAGTTTACAACATAAATTTATATTTCTAATTTAATTTACAATAATTTTTATAAGCGGCTCCAATAAAAACTTTTGACAGCTGATGTACTGTATTGTGTTGGTTCTCAATAACCACTATTGTGAATTGCTGTTATTTTAAATGACAGTAGTTGCTTGCAATTTTAGAAATTGTTGAGAATATATAAAATTTTGAATATAATGTTTTTTTTAAATTTAAATTGATAGTAAAGGTGGTTACACAGTTATTAAAGTTCAATTTATATTTAATTGATATTATTACTATCTTAAAATTATTATTTTTTGAGCATTATCTGATTGCACAAAAAGAATATATTCTAAATCATGTTATATTAATAATACTTATAATATCAAAAATCACAACATGATTGTACTCATAAAACGTCTGTTCCACAAGTTACTCGTAGTAACTTTGAGTAACACTGTGTATACACAAGTGCGTTCCATCATCAAATTTTCGTGTATTATCCTGTAAATTTTAAATGTGTTTTACTTGAGGTTTACTATGAGTAGCTCATCGAACAGACCTAATGTAATGGAGGAACAGATATAAAAGAATTGAATTTAAATTGAATTTGAATTTTAAAAATGACTATATTTCAGTATAAAACCTGCTTCACAGTCGTAGAGTCAGGCTCATATCACTCCTAATGCTCTTGTTTTGATATAGGATCATGGCGGCAGAGCCAAAAAATATTCATAATAACAACAGACGTCCAAAATTCTTTTTAAACTCTCCGGATGTTGCTGACAAAGTCGTATACAAAGCATTAATTGAAGTGAGCAAAAATTTTGACCATATTGTTATGAGAGACAAAAGTGTTATGAAAGAGCATTTACATATTTTTGTTTCTTTCGATTCACCCAGTTACCAAACAAAGTCTTTATAATTATTTTTTATATTATTATGATGTGTTCAAAAGTACATATGTACGTATTTTCTCGACACGTACAATCACTAATGCCAGAGTTATGGAGATTACCAAGCAAATTGATATAATAAATGATATCAGAAAGAGGAAATATGGTCTACTCTAAGAAAACATACGAGCAGTATAGTTAATTCAGCCTTAAAGTGAAACCCGATTGAATCAAGAAGAAGGGGAGATCTAAAGATAACATCGAGGCGAATAGTATTCAGAGAGACATCCAAATCATTTAACGAGCTTAGATACATGGCAAGTAATAAAGACAACTGCAAACTTTTTCAGAAAGACTAAGTTCCTAGATATGCTATCCATTTCTAATTGTAGTTGTATGTAACGTCTGTTTAGCTCCATTTAAATGATGTACTAATGACGAACAGATGATTTTTCGAAAACATATTAATCATTCTAAAAAATTTAGCATATATTATATATGTACAAGGTGTCAAGTAATTAATTAAGATTTAAAGGATAAGAAATGCATTTGAAAGGAAAGCGGGACAATTGTGTGAAAGTTTCCAAATTCAAAAAATTTGATTGTAAATAAAGTAGATTCTTGGGCTGACCAAATAGCTGTTTAGTAGTCTTTAGAAATATCTAAATGATTTGATTATCCATATAAGTCTTTTAGATTGTATTTGTCAGGAATAGAACTGAGTTAAAGTTTAATCGTGGATTCACATTTAAACATACAAAGCCATGTACACTTAGGACGAGCGAGTGTAAGGCTAAGTTGATGGTAAACCAAATGGGAGATTTTTTGGGATTTTTTGCACTGCACACATTTAGCCATTTATCAACATGTATCGACCATCACTACATTATCGGCATAACTTAGAATTTCACTCATTTAGAACGCAACTTAGCTTAACTCGCACACGACCTTAAATTGTTTTATTGAAATTAGAATTTTGTCAATTTTTCTTGTTTTAAGTAATTAATATATACTACATTGGTATACTGAAATCTTCAATGAAAAGGCATTAAGGTTCTTCAATTAAAACATTCTTCTATAGGGTTGTTGATAGCCAAACAGGGAACACTTAGTGTTAAATGTTTAACCTTATAGTAAATATAAGATGAAATAAAATAATAAATAAATTAATTACATAAAATATTTGTTAATCAATAATTGACATCCTTTAGGTTAGGTTAGGTTGACATTCAATTGACATCCTTAAAACTATCAACAAAATTAACTAATTATGCGATTTTAAACAAGTTCATCAATTCATACCTAATTGAGGAGTTGGCAAAGTACTAAAACCTTTGTTTTAGTTTCTCACAAGTGTTCATTAAATATTTTTCCAAATTTAATATTCCCAAAGAGTTGCTACTGTTAATCTAACCGAAAACAAATTCTACATATGGTTAAGTACGTACATCCCCTAATTTTCTTAGTGATATTGACATTTCAATACCAACACAAAGTGACACATTCCTACGTGACGTCTGACTTTAGTTTACTTAGCAAACATAAAAGCACAATTCGTCTTCGACAAAGACGAGATGAAGAAGGCAATTTAACCTCAAACTAAAAAAAAACGAATGAAGTTAAATACCTAAACTGAATGCTGCAGTACTGAACCACTTCAGGCTTTAATTTATGTGGATGGAAAGGGAAGGATCACACCAATGAACCAAGTCAAAGACGAGAAAATTAATATCTGAATAAAGTTCTGTGTAAATACGAAAATAAACGAAGTTATGTGGTTTTATTACTTACTCATTCATATGAACAAGTTTACTACAATTTAAAGTAGTTCTAAGGATTAAGAACAGATTTTTGTAATTTAATTTAAATATATTTTACATAATATTAATTCACTACATATTAAATAAAATTCTTTAGAAGATATTAGTACAAATACAGAAATTAACCCATAAAGTCACAGATTATTCAAAGAGTGACCTTTAGAAGTCTTTAGATTAAATGTGGAGAGGGATTATTTTTTGCTTTTTTAAATTTATTTATATTTATATTTTTAAATATTAAAAAAGTTATAGTAATTATTATTCAAGTCCTGTGTTTTTATGATTTATGGTCAAAAACTGCCTACAACATCTGCGGCTCGAAAATGAAAATTATAAAATAAATTTAAAAAAGTAATATTTTAAATGTTTCACTTCGGTAGTTGAAAATTCTGACAGATTGAATTGAAATGTTTTTTGCTGAAATTTATTCATATTATTTTTATATATACAATAATATTTTCATTACTTATTTTAATATCACAAAAACCTATAACCCTGTTCGTTTCATGTATCAATTCTGGGAATACCAACGAGTTAGTTATATTAAGTGTCAGGTTGTAAGAAGTGTTTTAGTTTAATTTAGTTCAGGTATCATTAATCCTGATGAGGGTCCAAACTCCGCCTTAATACAGCGTAATGTTTTCGAATAGAATCGACAAGGGTGCATTTGGTTCATTTTTACATATGATAATATCTTCAATAAGGCCCTTAAGAGATACTAAGAAATTTTGCTGTTTAAGTTGTTATTTGTAACTACCACTAAGGACGTACCAGAAAATTTTAGGAGATGGAATATAAACATGTAAATGGATTATACTATACTTATATTTGAGGAAAATTATCTCAAATCTAAAGTCTGCAGGGTGAAATGTATCATAATAGATTGACTACGTAACTGTCACTTATGAAACGACATATATAGAGAGGTGTATAAGAGAATTAGTTTTAGACGAATCATCACATTCTAATGCCCGACTAAGGGAAATAAATATATATATATACGATGTATATAGAGAGGTGTATAATAGAGTTCGTTTTAGACGAATCATCACGTTCTTATGTCCGACGAAGAGAGATAAATATAGACAGTTGTACTCGATTGGTATGTGGTTTCATGACAAGGTTTTAGAATTAAAATACAGTATAGTCATGTTCACCTCTTCCCTTCTTACGTACTTCATTTCACATCAACACATTCCGTACTATTTCAATTCCATCTAATCACTCACTCATCCCATGCTTCATTTTATATATATTGTATTTATATTCTGTTTGCAAGGGGTAAGAGCTGATAAGGGAGCAAAAATCGTAACAAGAGCAAAAGAAACTCGGAAGGGAGAAACTTTTTTAAAATGTAGGTTTTTATTGCAATTGTTTCTTTTTTAGTCATTGTGGGTAGTGTTAGTAGAGTTAAGGTAAGGTCTTAGCAGATCCTGTTAGTAGAGGTGTTAAAGAGAGTAGCAGGCGGTTGAAAACACTGCGCCCGTAAGTTCTATATGTATTTTGTATATTTAAGTTTTGTAGAATGAAATATGGATAGAAGTTATAACTAATAAATGTATGAATCACTTCGAATGTATCCACTAATTATAATGAATTTGCTATTTTCGGTTTTTCACAAAACCTCAAACGGTTTTCAAAGAAGTGAGTCTGCTATCCTTTATCCTTGTGGTATTGTGTAGCTAAAGGTGCATAGTCATTTTATGTTAATTTATTTCAACAACTTTAGTTTTAATTAATTTTTTGTTTTCGAATTGAATTTTGTTCTAATACAAAACTATGTTTTTGACAATTCCGTAGTTGAAACGTTTTATTCTGCCACCCGAACTATTGAAATACCAAAAAAAAGGTATAAATATTTATTTAAATTTGTTAGTTTTTATTTTAATTAAACTTTTTTTTGTCTGTAATTGTCGAATTCGAAACATTATTTATTTTGATATATAAAATAAACTTTCCAAATGAAAAAAAAAAACAATTACAAAATAGGTAAAATTGCAAGAGATCCTTATTGAAACTAGAAAGCATAATGGTTTTTAGATCTATTCGTTTTTTAACAAGTTTTCTGAAAATATTTAAACTCATTAGTTGGATTTTTTACTTGATGGGGCCCATATTACCCCTCCGAAGAAGTTATGGTTTATGCCAATACACATACACATATTCACTGCTCTCAAAGGAATAAGAATGGGCGCTTAAATCTCGGCTGTGTTGAGAACTAAGCTGAGGCAATAACACAGTTTAAGAATTCCATTGAAACTACAGATAACTACAGGTTCCTACTAAGTGTGGTAAATTCTTCAAATATCAAAAAAAATTATTTCGAACCCGTTTTACAATTTTTATCAATAAATTTGTATTTCAATTGTTAAAAAAGCAAACTTTTTCAATGATAATTTAATTTTTTATTACAGTTTACGATAAGCATTGTCCATAAAGAGT